GATTATCATTTTGGGGCGCCCATTCTTATTATTGCGAGTTTGTCCAGCTTCCCCATAAGTTACACGACTAAGTGAGGATTGACGCGCTGAGGGGCTGCGTGTCAGCCCGTCAAATGCCCGAGGAACAGAACAGTGTTTCACGAAAATAGTCCAACTACTCGTATGAATTCAGTAGATATTAACACGTGCTTCAACAGTTCGTGAGGGCTGTTCGACAACTATGCACTTTTTGGGCACGGACGTCGAGCCCTATGTTGTTTAGTCGTACAAGCGGGTTTCACAGCTTAACTGATACATCGTTGCCTCACTTCCAGAGTGCCCCGGTTCGGGCACGTCTTGAAGGCTCTTCTTACTATTCCTATTGACCCAATTGTGAAAAACTCGGCGCCTCGGTGGGATTCGAACCCACGCAGTAAGGGGAAGGCTTTAGTACAACCAACGCTCTAACCACTTGAGCTATGAGGCCCCGCCAGACGACGCGAGTTTTATCAAATTTGGGTCAAGTTACCCGCCCAACCTACTGCAACGTCTGGAATCCACCAAATCTGATACAGTAAATTGACTGCCCAAGCGGGATGTCCTAAGTAATTCACCTAGAATCCACCAGGTGACTACTACGCTCACTTCTTAGTATCAAAATGTCACTGCGGCTGAATCATGCCAGATCCTGCGGAGGCCGTTACGCATCCACCGTCAGATGCTGAGGCAGGATTTAAAGGGCAACTCACCATCCTGACGACTCGTCAAACCGATTGTGAATTAGGTAGTCACGTTGGAGTGACTCACCGACCGGACATAACGACAAGATATTAGGTTGTTCGGAAAGTGTCGGCTAATTTCAGAAACGTTCCCAAATATCCCAGCGCTATATACTTTAAAATTAATCGAAGTATACTTCCTAGACGTCTGTGCATCACTGTCATCGGTGGATAAGACCATTTATGCCTTTAAAAAATCCACTGGCTTTGATGTTAGGGAATATTTGGGCCCAGATCCCACCTCACCGTTGTTCTTGAAAGTTTTCATGCTTGGAAACATGGTGGTCGGTGGGTGACAGATTGGGAGAATATGGAGGATGCGGTAAAGTCCCATATCTCGAGTCATTGAGTTTTTGCAGTGTCATCCTGGCAACTTGGTCTTACGCCTTACGATCGTGAGGAATAAAATACTGACTTGCCCACAGCTGTTTGCGAAATGCGCACTAACCTCAACAAATCTGATGTCGCCAGTAGCGGATACTTTACGAAGGATCTCGGCGATGCTGGGGGTAACCGAACCATCGACGCTGATCCAACATCACTAGGTACTTGCATTCGCCGGATGGCAAAATTAGTGAAGACACACGCACCCTCGAGGGTTTATCTCTCGGATTTGTCAGTGGGAATTTCTCCTATGTGAATGGTGGACGTATACGCGATGATCGCTACTAATTGGCCTGTCAGAAACGTCGTTGTATCAAGCAGCAGTCCTATCAAGGAGCTGGAGAGCTGCTTCAAGTCTGAAAGAAAAATGAACAAACCACAACTGCGGCTGTCTGGGCTCTGTTACGAGCCTGCGAGCGAGTATTCTAGTTGGCACTGTTAACGATGGTTACCACCTGTGAACTTCACGCGCATGATGAGTGAAGGTGTGCTTGGGGCACGTGACCGAATTTCGACCTTTTTCTAATTTCAATGATAAAAGCAACTTTTCCGGTGTGCTTCGGAGTAAAGGTGACAGGTCGGGCATCCGGGAGTGGTTGGGAACAAAAGACAATGGCTAATTTGACGGTTCGTCATACCCTACTTACAAATGTCAGTAGGTTTTATTAACAACTCAAACATTCTGTTGCCGCCATCACCGGACCGAGGGCGACACATGTTGAGAGCCATTATTTTAAGATTAGAGGACCAATTTCATCCTGCATCATTTAACAGTGGATGTCATTGCACCCGCAGTTTTAGAAAGCGATATGATTGGATTAATCGACCGAGTGAAAGTTTTCGCACTTAAGAGTTTTATTTGGTTGGATATTAGTATTATTATTAGCATTATTATTATTATTATTATTATTATTAAAACTTTCCAGTGTACCAGCTCACCTTCTAAGTCCAACAGAAGTGTTCGAAAACTACTTGTAAGACTGAACAACTCATTTGCAAGTCCAACTTAAAGAAGAATCTTACCGAATGCCTGACGCTCCGTGCATTTGAACTGATCGTTCTTTGTGAGGGACTAAACAACACGATAAAGTTAAATAGAACGTTAGTGGTCTTTCCAACTAAGTCTTTAGTGGATTAAAGACGATCTGAAAAATATCTTTATCTTCGGGAAGTGGTCGAAGCTCTGCTAACTTACGTTAGCGTAAGCAGGGGTTTGCTCATCCAAGTCAGTACGGCTGCCGTGGTACCAAGTAAAACTCACTGTCCCCACCATGACGGCAAGAATAAAAAAACCATAGGGACAAAATCGACGACATCAGTAGGCCAACAGCAGTTTTCATTAATTTATTCACACTAGTCCCAACTGTTCAAAAAATTGGAAAGGATAATTACTCCTCCAGACCCCTGCTCCCGCACTCAAGCCGACCTCATGTGTATAATGCCAACTCGCGTTCCTGGATCTCAAGGCCACTTCCTCAGACCTCATTGTCAACAAAGTGAGACGCTAGTTTAATTAGACACATGGTCATAACTGAATACTCTCTGTCTGACAGACTTAGTAATTGACTGGTAACTGTTCAAAGCAACTTGAATTGTTTTTACGGTTGACTTCTTTGCCTGCTTCGATGCTATGATTGAAAGAAGCAAAGTTGACAGATGTGACAGCTCCTTGTCTAGCGCCCCAGTTGACCTACATGGATGATGAATGTCCCACCCATTCTTACTCGAATGGTTTGGGTGCATACAGTTACGCTTGCAAAAGGTCAAGACCCTTAGATTGAAATCCACACAAATCCGCCTCATTCTGGACCCATTAATTAGAGGTGTTGGAGTAGAATCCAACCTTCGCTTTTTTCATTCTTTAAGACTCACCACTGCCTTATCAGTAAAAAGCAACCCAACATGTGTGTGTGTGTGAGCTCCGAGTCAAGCCCACGAAGCCCCCGGACATATTGTGGAAAATGGGCCGTGTGTGGCACGCGTAGATGGGCCGTTCAGTTTTCTCAATCACAGCGCTAGACCCCGTCTCAGGTCGTGTTAACACAGTTTTAACGCTGGAGAAAGGTGAGGAGGGGAGAGGGAAAGTGTGATTGATGCTGCGCAAGCCCGCCTCACTTCAAACCAATTTCGGCGCAAGTCACCGGTGCTGCTCGCATTTCGTGTGGCACGCGGTAAACGCTGTCGTTTTTGACGATCGGACTGGCAGCAGACTTAATGCTTAATTGCACAAAACCACCATTACACCACAGGGGAAATAATCATATTATTAAAAAAACTATCTCTGTTTTGCAATAACGGTCGGAAGTACAGTAGGTGGGCTAACTCAAGAAATGTCAACCGAAATGCAAAAATTCGGTTTCTTTTCGAAAGAATTAATTAAGTGGGTTTGTAAAATGAATCATCGTGCAGCATAATTTTCTAATAATCCAGTTACCTCAGGATGGCGGCTTTCGAAGGAATTTCTTTTCGGCCGCACGCAGTAACCACACTCTGTAAAAATGACTACTTAAGTAACATGCAATTTTCTCATTGATTTTCGATGCCTCTAGAAGTCTAATGATAGTTCATTGAAAACGTGCATAAAAATATTCATTCTTTTACTCATTCTGTAGAAAATGACGTCTTCTTTCAATTTTATACTCGAAAGAAGAGTATAATTTGGTTTTCAAAAACTTTTCCAATTCCCGAATAATTCTGAATTCGACCTGCTGTTAAGCTTCCATTCGGGGTTTCCGAAATACAATCCACATATTTTCCGCGTTCGGGAGACCATAACTTTCTCTGCTGTATTAAAAGGAGACCTTATGGGGTTCGTAAAAGTTAGCAGTGGATTCGAGCCATATTGTTGACTCTACAGGCCACATTGGTGAGTGCTGAGACATGATGTTGTATAGACGGCCATTTCACAGTATTAAAAAATCTCACAATTGGAAACTTTTTTTGAAACCCAATTGCACCCTTCTTTCGAGTATAAAATTGAGCGCAGTCGTAATGTTCTACCGAATGAGCAAAAACTGAATATTTTTATGCATGTTTTACATGAAATATAGCTGGATTTTTAAGAACATGGAAAATTATTGGGAAAAATGCATGCTACATAACTAGTCAG